CCACTACGCTACCAGAGCTCCTTAAATGTAATTAGGAGTTTTAAATTGGATTGTATGGCATAAGTGTCAGTTGTTTTTAATATTTTCTCCCCAGTAGATTATCTTTTCCTTTCACGTTTATTTTTTCCCTCAGATGTGTATATGTGATTCTGACCTTTTTGAAGACAAATTGAATTGAAAATAAAGTATGAAAAGCAAAGAAAAAGAGACAATCTGTGAGTCACCATACAAAATTCAATAAAAATATAGAATGTACTATTCTGGACATTAAAAAGAGTTTCTTTCTCTAATTTATAAACCAAAGATGTGACCTTACTTAGATTAGAAAATTAAGAGTGTTAAAGAAGGCTGCGGTATGCAAGTTTGGTTACAGTATCATAAAATTTTAAACAAGGATCCGCTCAGATTATTTAATATGATCATCCCAGTTTTAGAGTTGAGAAATTGAGGCCTAGAGAAAGCAAGTGACCCTCCCCCAGTTTTTAGTCAATGGGATGTGACAGAGTTCATATGAGGGTCTGATTCCCAGTGGATCAGATATTATGATGGTCATATTTATTTGCTAAAACAGAATTGTGGAATATTCTGCAACATTCAACACTTCTGATGAACTAAAAAAAAAAAAATAGGGAATGAGAATGGAGATACTTTTAGGAATTGTGGTACTAACAACTGGAGAAAAAAAAATTATTTTGACCATCTGGGATAAGTTTGATGAAAAATATGCATTTATTTAGTACAACTATTTTTAAGTTTGAAAAGCATCATCGTTAACTTCTAAAGACATAGATAGACATGTCAGACATAAATGAAACGAGACTTTAAACAACGCAACATCTAAGTAGAACAGTTTGGACTTTATTAAGTATTTTGAGTGTTGGTAAAGTTTCTTCAGACTGCCAGTATATTTGCATTATTAAGTATTTTGAGTGTTGATAAAGTTTCTTCAGACTGCCAGTATATTTGCAGCTTTTGGGTATCTTAAATACTGATTTTCTTTAACACAACTGAAGGTTTTCAGCAGCCTGGGGCAACAGAACAGTTCCAAGTCTTGAGTATCTTAACTACTGTAAAACTTTAACACAACTTGAAACTTCCTGTGGCCTCCTACAACTTTCATTGTAGTTATCAGTTGAATTCCTTATGTTGCCCCCAAGATTTTCTGGCCTTCTTTTCTGTTCCCTTTTGCTGTTTGTAAGTCTCATATTTATTGGCCATTGTCACCAACGCACGAGGGACAAGCTGATTTGTTCTTCCCAGGATCTTAGTTAACTCAGCGGCAATTTTCCAATCCTTTTCAGTGATCAATGTAATTGCTGTTCCACTCTTCCCTGCTCGTCCAGTGCGCCCTATTCTGTGGACGTATTCTTCCATATTCCGTGGGAAATCATAATTATATACATGTGTGATATCATGAACGTCAAGACCTCTGGATGCTAAATCGGTAGCAATCAATAGTTTCACTTTTCCGGTTCTAAAATCATCCAATGCTCGTTCTCGGTCCCTCTGTTCTCTGTTGCTGTGGAGGGACTGAACCGGTATACCCTGGATGCCTAATTCGCTTGACAAGTCATCAGCAACGAGTTTTCTGCTGACAAACACAATGACTTTGTAGCTGGGTGGCATATTGTGTACAAAATCTAGCATGAGAGATTTTTTCTTGTCTTCTGTGGTAATTATTATATCTTGTTTTACTGTGTTTACTGCAACTAGATCCAGAGTGCCAATATATACGATCATGGGCTGTTTCAAAAGTAACTGTGCTAGTCGACGAACATTTTTAGGCCAAGTTGCACTAGTCATGGTTGTCTGTCTGTCAGGGCGCACATCTAGTAAAATCTTCGTTATCTGGTGTTCAAACCCCAAGTCAAGCATTTTATCAGCCTCATCTAACACCAAATAGGTTACGCTTCTGAGATCTACATAGTCACACTTCTGCAGATCATGTAATCGGCCAGGAGTTGCAATAATGATGTCCACCCCTTTGCTGATGTTGTATATTTGTGCTTCTCTGTCAGCACCACCATATACACAAACACTTTTAAGACCTTTGTATGAATACTTCGAGCATTCAGCTTCCACTTGAAGAGCTAATTCTCGCGTGGGTGTAAGAACAAGCATACCAGGCCCATTTAGTTTGTTTCCTGTTATTGGCTGGGAAGTGATATGAATAAACCCAGGCATTAAATAGGCGAGAGTTTTGCCTGTGCCCGTTTGGGCAATTCCTATAAAGTCTATTCCTTGTAGTATAATTGGCCAGGCCTGTGCCTGAATGGGTGTTGGTTTGAGAAACCCTTCTTTGTAAATGCTATCCAGAATCTCAGGATAGTTTTGAAAGGCGTCTTTGAAGGTACAAGTCGGATTGGGAATAGGTCGTTTGACACCATCTTTCAAGTCATTACAAGTTATGTTGAAATTGTCTCGTCTCCAATTAGCTACTTGCATTGGTGTCATTGAACGTGTAGATACGGATTCTGTGTATACGTTTTTCCGAATTGGCGCTAAATCCGCCCACTTTCTGCTCTCCCACTTGCTGACCTCTACTCGAACCCTGTCCCAGTCGATCTTGGGCTTAGATGCTGGGGCGGCCTGAGCTCCATCTTGACCTGGTTTAACCTGGTGAGCGGGCCGAACTTCCTCGGCACACCAAATGACTTGGCCTGGTTTAAATTCCCAAGCTGGTGGCTCATCCTTATGGGAGATGCCAGACCAACGGCACTTGCGTGGCTGCAATACTTCAGCTGAATCACGGGGCTGAGCTTCTGCGATTACAGCCACAGCCCGTCCCAGTGACTGCGGGCCAGCAGCAGCAGCAGCAGCAGAACCCCCACCACCACCACACCTGGAAAGGTAACGTTCTTGCTTCTGAACCAGAATGTCTATCATTGCTTGGGCCTTTTTTCGCATGTTCTGGCTGCCATAAATTTTTACCTCTGAATCATCGACACCTTTTATTACACGAATCTTTGTATGTGTCGTACCTTGGATCTCCCTGATTTTCTGTCCGCCGCGACCAATCACCACACCAACCAGGCTGTTCTTCAATCGAAAGCAGCGAGGAGGATCACAGTAGTTGGACGGCTCACTCTGCTCGCTGCTTCTGCCGCCCCTCCCATCGTGGCTGGCCTCAAAATATCTTGTATTAGGCTCCGTCTGCTTCAACTCCCTTCTCCAGGACATGGCTCATTAGTGAGATAGCTGGAGGCCTCTGGCTAGTCAGGCTCTGAAACAGCCTAGACAGAAGGTATGGCTTTATGATGCAGTAGCTGCTTTGCCTCAGGTTGCTAAGGGAACCAAAACGACCTTGCTTCCTGGGCGGGGCCTTGAAAGTCTACCAATCACAGTGCTAGGACTAGAGTGCCAGGAAGGGAGGAGCCTGTGCTGCAGGATTTAAAGAGACACTCACTCTTTTTTTTTTTCTTTAATGTTTTATTATGAATTATGTGATAGTTTACTTGGGAGAACATTAGTTTTACATTCATTCTATTGTATATAGTCTCATTGCCATGGTTACAATCCCCTCCATGCATCATCAACCAACCAAAGGGTATACCCTGCAAGCCTGCCCCGGTACCCCCCAGGTCTTCAGTACATAGTTGCTCTCCCTCTCTGGATCTAAAGACTCCAGCTGCTCCATCGCTCCACATCATCATCTCTGGCTCCATTTCAGACATCACTACTTCTCTGGGTAGGGTCCCGCTCTCTGCTCTTTTCCCTTGATGGTCCTAGGGACCTCCGCTCCTAGATTGGAAAGTTAATCACTCCCCTCCTTGCTAGAAAACGTCTACCTTTACATTTCCAACCCTCACAATCAGTCCTGATAACAATTATTCACTATTGTATCACAAGAGACCCATCTGCATTTCACTGCATCAGCCCCGCCTAGACAGATTGAATACTACTCACTGGAGATTCTACCTTCCTCCAGGCCCTCTGGATCTAGGTTCCCTTTTGAAAGATTGTAAGCCAGTCAATTCTTGCCTTTGTATCCCCCTGCCCCTCATTTTGGGTAGCCAATGTCCAAGTTGCCCATCCCTGTCTACTCTGTGTGTGGAGGGGGTGGGAATGATTCTTGCTGTAAGGACTTGTTCCCTCTTTTGAGCTACTGCTTCCATAGGTGTAGGTCAAGTTCATCAAATTGTATGAGAATACTTTTTTTTTTTCTCTCTCTCTCTTCTTTTTACTTCTGGTTGAGCTCTGATCATCCAGTCACTGAAGCCAGGATAAGTGGGTATTATCTGCAAGTGTGGGTGTCCTTGTGCATATGCCCTCTCTTATCAGCTGGATGCTTCACTCTCTACTCTAGTCCTCTGTGGCTATGTCACTGACTCTGGGCCCAAGAGTCCCCAGGTCTTGCCACACTGCTGGCTAACCAGGTCTTCACCCGGGTTCACAGAAGTCTATTGAACATTGTAGGGCTTAGCTCACCACTTCATTGCTGTTTTTCCCTCACTTCCCCTTATCGGTGTCGAGCGTGGTCACCAATCAGAGCGTGTATTTCCATTGAGTGTTAGTCTTGAAAGGGGGTTTGCAGTGAGGGGACCCGACCACTTGCCTTGATGTTTCCTGGGCAAGCATGTTGCTTGTTCTTGTAGTAACAGTCGGTCTGCCTATGTTGTTTTATATTTTTCCTGTAGGTCTTTCTTTCAAGAAGTATCTTCTGTTCTTCTAGCCACTCCAGGCTGACCGCCTGGACCTTCAAAGGGAAAATTCCCAACCCAGAAAAATCTGGATAGGGTTCAGGATTCCACCTATGGTCTTATGTATTGCATAGGCTCCACAGGAAGCCTCCTTCAGAGACACTCACTCTTAGGGAACAACCTTGCAGACCCATCTGGAACCCTTGAGAGTGAGCCCCCTATTTAATTTAGAGCTGGCATGAAAGGGTCTTGCACTTAGCCACCTAGACTTTCTTTTCTTTTTTTTTTTAAATAACACGGTTATATCCGTAGGAGGAGTCTTGCTTTATCTTGTAGGATAAGCGTTCAATTATAATGTTGGTTTGAACCACAAGCTCCTCGGTTCAAATCCACCAGCCAATCCATATGAGTCGGCATGAACTCCATGGCACTTAACAACAACAACAAAATATAAAGAGTTTTTTTAAAAAATCAACTTATTTATTTACCTGTGTATTTATTCATTTGCTTTGGGAAATTTTTTGTGTAAAACAATACTTGATGTCTATCAATTCCTCATTTGCCTGTCCTAATGAACTGTAAGGTTGTCAGTTCAAGCTCACCAGCTGCTCCTTGGAAAATCTATACAGGGTTGCTATGGGTCAGAATCGACTCGACGGCACTTAACAACAACAACAATGTGGCACTGTAGAATAATCACTGGATTGCTCACCGAAAGGTTGGTGGTTCACACCTACCAGCCGCTCCTCGGAAGCCCTATACAGGGTTGCTGTGAGTCAGAACCTACTCAACTGCACGTAAAAGCAAAAACAAAATAAAGAGGGTTTTTACAGTATCGACTTATTTGTGTGTTTATGAATTTGCTTTGGTAAATTTTTGTGTAACAATGCTTAATATAGATCAGTTTATCATTTGTAGGTACTGGTGTGGTATTGTAGAATAAGCAGTAGACTGCTAGTAGGAAAGTCGGCGGTACAAATCCACCAGCTGCTTGCTCCTTGGAAACCGTATACAGGGTCACTAGCAACAACATTAACAAACCAAACCCACTGCTGTGGAGTCAATTCTGACTTATATGACCCTATAGAAGAGAGTACAACGGTCCCTTAGGGTTTATAAGACTGTAATGTGGCATTGTAAGGAGCTCTGGTAGCGTAGTGGTTATAAGTTGGGCTGCTAACCACAAGGTCAGCAGTTTGAAACTACCCAGCCATTCTACGGGAGAAAGAGGAGGCTTTCTGCTCCCGTAAAGATTTCCAGCCTCAGAAATTGTATGCAGGCTCGCTGTGAGTTGGAACCGACTCCAAGGCACACCACTACTACCACCACCAATGTGGCGCCGTAGCCCCGGACCACAAGGTCGGCTTGAACTGCCGGGTCAGCATTTCGAACTCACCAGCCTCTCCTTGGAAACCCTACACAGGGTCACTATGAGTCAGAACCGACTCAGAGACACTTAACAACAGCAATGAAATCAGATTGCCCGATTTTTCTCCTGAGGAGCAGCTGGTGGGTTCCAACCACTGATCTTTCAGTTAGCAGTCAAGCACTTTAACTACTGTGCCACCATGGCTCCCTCCTGTCTTGCTGCTGCTGTTGTTAAGTACCGTCAAGTAGGTTCCGACTCAGTGACCCTGCCTAGGGTTTCCAAGGAGCAGCTGGTGGGTTTGAACTGCCAACTTTGTGATTCGCAGTCCAGTGTTGATCCTACAGCACCACACTGGACGTCCATAGTGTAACTTAACTATACCCAGTGTCAGATTATCCAGTAAATAAGGTATGCATGGGCTGACTTAATGCTTACTTGCTAATCTGTAGTCAACAGTTTCACCACAACTTTGGTGAAACCCATGTGAAATTATTCACTACTGATTAGTAAGTAAGCGTGAGTAAGCCCATGTTTACCTTGCTTATTGGGTAATCCATCCCTGATCTAACTATGGAAGTCTCATAGGTGTACATTTAAAGATGGCATTTTGCCTCTGTTTCTTCAACTAAGCTATAACATCTGTTCTGGCAGTTTTCAGATCTTATTTCAGAAATGATGGTTAGTTGGCAAGAAAGGTAGAGTGGGTCTAAAAAAGAGAAACGATTGAAAACACTGCCTAAGGTTTCTTTTCTCATTGTGCTCTTTTTTTTTTTTTTCTTTCTTAAATCCCTGTAGGCCCATAGCTTCCAAGATTGCTGCAGTAGAAGACCATGTAAAAGTCATTTATTAGGTGCAATGCATAAGACACCCTGGCAGCAGTCTGGACATAGGGGCATCCAAACCTCTGTTTAAACAGTTGTCACTTTCTGTTGAGCATTTCCATTCCATTATAAGGCAATGTTAATAGGTACAAAGATTGCACTAACTTAAATGTGCCCCCGCCTGCTTTCTTCCGTACTTCCTCTGGCTTCTGAGGTCACTTACCCAGAATTGGCTGGATCTTCCTTGTATTCTTGTGTACTTAAGGGTCACTGTCAAGGCTCCTTAAAGTACAGGTCCTTAAGGTAAGAATCCCCTTTGTTCAACATTTCTTAATATGATATCATTTCTAAGGCACACCCCATTTTGCTCCCTCTGCTTTGGAAATAGTTCATTGAAGAACATTTATAACGCAGCACGTAGCACTAAACCAAAAAATCTGCAAAAATACTCTCACACCATTGTTCTTACACCTCTCACTGGGCAGGATAACTCTATGAATTCTATCTAAGAACCCCTAAAACACAAAGTTTGTCATAGTAGTATGATGGGAATTTAAGTTCATTTTTCCTCATCCTATATTGCCAAGGTCGATTTTTTTTCTTATTTCTTTATTAATCTAAAAGTGGTGGTGGCCGTGGTTATGTGCTATGGAGTTGATTCCAACTCACAGTGACCCTGTATAGGGTTTCTGAGGAATGGCTGGTGAGCTTGAACTGCCAACCTTGCAGGCCAGCGCATTAATCTGCAGCGCCATATGGGGACTCACTGTCTCTCTGATGCAGCCTATTAAATATACTTTGAATGCCGATTCGCTCACCCTTCTTATTTTCCTCTATGTTCAAGTCTTCTGCAGATTTAATGTCCATAACACATCTTTCTCTCATCTTTCATCTTTTAATTTTACTAATTAAAATTTGGACAAGGATAGAAATCCTAAGTCACAAGTATGTCTGCTATTACTTGGGAGAAATCTTAATTATATCAGCATTTTCCTAAAAGATACTTTTGGGGAAAAAATTAAGGAGTCTACTAGCTAAATGCATCTGGGAAATACAGCACCTTGCACCCCCTTACAGTATCCCAGGAGCTGAGTCTTATAAGCATTGAAAAACCCAATTGTTTAACCCAACATTTCTCAAAGAAATCTGTTAGTAGATCCTTTTCTCATGTTTTTCAAGTAATATTTTTAAATATATTTTCAATAATTTTGGATTTATGGAAAAGTTGTAGAGAGAGTACAGAGGATTCCAGTATACCCCTCAACTAGTTTTAGTTTACCATAATCCTGTATCTCACATTACCATGATACAGTTGTTAAACCCAAGAAATACACACCAGCACTGGACTGC